CAGAGTGAATGAAATCATTGCCAAGAAGGTTAGAGTGCAGCAGTTTAACCCCTGGCCAAGAAAGAGGGAGGAGAGGAGGCAAACAGAGCGAGAGAAAGGAGGAACAAGGAGAGGCAGGCACTACATCCCTTCATCTCTGGAGCACGGATGGAGGAGAGGGGCTGCCGGTGGCTTTCACAGCCTCTCTTCTCACCAGAGGAACTGCTGTTCACCATATGGGATTTGGCCTCCCTTAACAAACAGGCCCCCTATTCACTTGCAACACACATTCAGTCGTTCGTGGAATAAGGTGAAAAAAGTGCATTTTTATGCCTTTAGAACATTGGATGGCCATGAGGGCTCTAAGTCTGTGTTTGATTCACATAGTATAGAGAATTATAAACTAGAGGCTTTCATCTAAATGTGTATTCACACTGGATTTAGGGTTAGGCCTTTTTTGTGTTATACTGAAGTCTCTCTCAGTGTTAAAGCCAGAACCACGCATTCAGGCCACTGTTATTGAGCTGCTAAGGTGATCCTATAGAAAGACTATACACCCACAGAGCAGAGTGCACTGTGGGTGTATATCATGTCTACCATACGCTTTCCCAGCAGTTTGAAAATGCTATTTTTATAAAGCTTTACGTTGTTCAAAGTAAGTTAGTGACAAAATGGCTTAAAGTTGAACAACTTGCAATGCAGTGTTGGGCAGTGTACGCTTTCTGACAGTAGTGTTACATGCCAACTTTTTCTCCCAGCCAGCAGCATTAGGGCAGCATTAGGAATGACATTCTCTGCCAACAGCCTCCTTTTAGCCTACTCAGAAATCCCAAGAAGCGAAGATTTATGCCAGTAAGATGAATATGCCAGTATTTCTCGTTTTTTCAGCCTACTTGGAAGCGCTAGTGAAAACAGATTTATGCAGAAAACTGAAGAAATGAAAGATGAAGGGGTAGGCTTATTTGTTGTTTCTCTCATGTTTCAGTGCACACGTACCTTGCTAATTTATTCTGTTTAATCCCGTCACGTTTAATGATCCACCTGTGTAGGTAGGAAGGAAGTGGTGTCAGTTGAGAGAGGAGAGGTCTACCTCCCACTCTTAGGCATCCATCCATTCCTTCCCTCACGTCATCCTTCCTCCTCCCACTCCTTCCCCATTGCCCCGCTCTCAGTTCCCAGCACCCTTCACCTATTAACCCTCCTCTCTCCTTCCTCCTCCGACATATAAAGACAGGTGTCTTAGGAATAGCCAAAACATTGATTTTTGACCATCTCCACCCCCATCCCCCAGCCCCCCACCCCTTCCCCTGTATCTGTGTCATGGCTCAGAGCTGCTTTCATGTTGCCCCCGTCGTTACTGTTGGAGGTCACCCACGCTTGAAGCCCTCAGGGATCAATGGACATGCTACTATACAGTAAATATTCACTCCCGAGCTTGCCATGTGTCTGTAAACACGCATGCACACATTTGCACGCAGATACACTTGCACTTTGCACAGAGACCAAGGGTCACTGCTTGAGCTCGTCGTCACATTTACCCACCTCCATTTCCCGGGGTGTGAATGAGGAATCTGATTCTGGATAGGTGATTTCAATTCAATTCTCACCCACAGGATCTGTTTATGCTCCACCAGGGTGAAATATGCGATAGGTTGGTGACTGGCGTCACATCAAATGGACTGTTTTTATACTGCTTGTAACAACTCTTTATAGATTTTGTCAACTGTAGGAAATACAATAAACACATTTCAATCTTTTGCATTTTTTGGCTTTGGTGGACAGAGATGAGGAAGAGGCTGATGGGTAACAAATCAATGTATTATGCAGGCAGGCTGACCATGTGGTGCCTGACAGATTTATTTGTTGGCTGATAATAACCAGATATGAGCAGATATTGTTTATTTTCTTCATTAAAGGTTCAATTTATTT